CAGTTATGGCTACTAAATAAAATATGGCCTAGCTTATCTCACCACATACCGGTTGAATGAGGTTGGATTTCCAACACTCTATCACTAAAAAAACTTGGAATTCTGACTGTATAGGGTATCGGGACTAGTTTGGATTTCCATTATCAGATATAAAATTTTGAACTTGGTAAATTAGCATATGATGAGAGTTATATTTGGAAATCCTACTCTGTATGGTGTCACAAAGGAACTCATCAACACCATAAGTAGGACCTATAGTTTTGGATTTCCATTACTGTATGGTGAATGGTGATTTGGAAATAAAACTTTGTATGACTTATACACCCATGGAAATTATACCCTGTATGAAGTAAACACACAAGCTCATCAACAGGGGGGGGGTGCAGATATAAACTGGAATGGCCCAATACCAGTCTGTCTTGTTATGTGCCTAAATAAAAGACAACGGGCCTTGCTTGTATTCTCTCTATTAATTTTATTTTATATACAATAGGAGAAAGACCCAGTGATTTATGTATACATATGTATTTCAACTTAGTTATATTTTACATACATGTACTGTACATGTGCATTCATGAGAGCAAGGGGACTTACAATACTGTAAACCATTTGAACACGGTGATTTGTCTGGCTAAAATATTGATGTAAATGTTTTGTTCTTTGTTATTTTTCAATTGAATTGACATAGCTTTCCAATGGCTACGTACATGATTAGATTTGTTTGTTTGTGTGAAGGTGAACAAATTTGTCTTTGCTGTCAAAAGGGTAAATTATTGCAATTATTCTCCACAAATGTTTTATGTCAATACCATTTCCTTTCAAGGAATCGGTGGTATCAGTGAAATGTTCACAGATATAAATAGCATAGTTCACAAATAACAACATTAAGCGTTATGCACTATCATTACAATGATTAGTTATGATTACAACGAACAAATAAATCAATTAGTGACAGACATATTTTTAACTACTTGGCAGGTAATTGTGTTATTTAGTGAAGGCTTTTTTCAGGCAGTAAACTTTGTTTTTGTTTCATATCAAATTGAATAAAGCAACAGTTAGCTAACGATGTTGCTATTGAAATTGCGCTATTTGTTTTTGACCTCTGGTCTAGTTTACATGCTGAGCAAAAGATTTATGGTGAACTCTAATTTTACATAAGATCTTGTAGTCATGAGAAAGTGTTATTTACAGTCATTTTAAGGTTCCCATTGGTTGAAGATTGATATATTTTTGAAGAACAATTCAAAGCTCAAAGTTGTGACTTACGCAAAGTTTGTTTTGACTGTACTATACGCGATCACAACACTTTCCACAGCAGTTTTTGATATCGTGTCACAAACAACCAACGCATTCAGGGGGTCATTTAGAATAAATTTGCATGCTTTATGTTAATATAAGTTATTTCGTGAAGTCTGCATCAACTATCAATTATTCATATTAACTAAAAACCTGCAGACAGAGATAGTCTCTCAGGACTAAAGTCCCTTGTGTGAAATGGTTCGCATTTCCAATCAAACACCTTCAGTGTTCGAATGTCTAGGAAATGTAATTACAGTAGGCCTGAGGACTGTCGACAGTCTAAGTAAAACTGTTCCTGAGTTCAGAAACATAATTGAAAAAAGTTGTAAATTAATTCAAAATTAAAATATTTAGTTTCCTCAGAAAATTCAACATTGTCTGCAGCTGCTATCGCCCACTCATTCAAAATAAAGTGCTTACTGATTGGATAATATTGAACAAATTCATTAATATTAATTAGCTCTCATGATAATATTACAATAACTTTCCTGGATTAGTCAATTTGAAATCCAACAGCCATTTTAATTTAAAAACATTTATGAGGTCCCCAGCTTTCTGTCATTCACTGTAATCCGAAATGAGTATAAAGCAACTTACATTTAATTTCTTGTTATTTCATATTACTGTTATTCTACAGTCCAAGGGTCATGTACCAAGTCTGATGAGCATCAGCTTACCGTCAAGTGAACACACAATTGAACCATGTGGGAGTGGATTAATAGGAATACCAACAAAATCAGAAAGTGGTGATACAAGAATTGACAATATATCTGGGAGTCGTGACAAACCACAAAGCCATGACAGACCCCGTGAGAGATCTGAAAGCAGAGGTCGATCTGATTCTAGATTAGTAGAGCGTGTAGTTTCAAGTAGGAATAAGTCTGGGCCAGGATACTGTGAATTATGTAAAGTGCATTGTGGGGAATGGGTAAGTAATCAATGTATGTTTATACAGTCAACCTCCATACATTGCCATGTGTATACTGTCAACCTT